TCTGAATCTTTATTGCTTTAATCTTCCATTTTTCATTTATTTGGTTGCCTGCCTTTTTGATGCATTGAAGCACTACACATTGAAGCACCCACCAGGGTCAGAATTTGACTGACTATATCAGAAATAAGAGCAAACAACACTCTTTTACTGCCCACTCTCATGGTGTTTACATAATCCATGGCTGATTTCAGGTCGGCATATTTAAATGTATCAAGTAAAGTAAACATGTGATAAGTTTAAAAATGCATTGTCACTGTAAGTTATTATCACTCACTGTGACGTGCAAACATACAGTTATTACAGAAACTTCCATTTAGATGAGGAAATGGCAAATGTCTCTTCTGTCTGTTTCTAGCGGGCAGAGAGAGGAGAAAGAAAGCGTTGACGTTTTCTGCTTCAGGCACGTAGTTACAGGAGGAAGTGGAAGTTGTTCATTTTTAGCTGAATTTAAGACTATTTTAAGTTTTATGGTAATAACTCTTGGCTGATTTAGAGTTTTGAAACTTGGTATACTGTATGTATTTGCTTTCTTCTTTTTCCTTTGCCTGTGTTTTCAGTATTGTATTGTTAGGTGCTTTTATGCTGCTGTCTTGGCCAGGTCTTATTTGCAAAAGGAGGCTTCTTATTTAAGATGAAGAGTAGATAAAAAACAAATGTTTGGCATCTTTGGTTGGCCGAAATCAGATTAACTGTGATAAGATTAAAATCCACAATCAGTCACACACTCACTAAAGCCTCTGAATGAACAAAGGGCTGTTTTTTACAGGTTATTTAGCTACTGTGCAGTCAGTTAACTTATTACCAAGGAACCTTTTAACAAGATCTGATATTGTTACATTAGTTTTATAAATTGATTGCATTGATTCAGCGTCATAGGTAATTTACTTCCGTTTCCTAAGTAAATTAATAGGAATTGTTACATATGCGTCATTTCTTAAGTCCAAACTGGGACTTCTTCATTATCTTCTTCTTCTTAGTTCATGTTACCGTGGGCTGTTGGATTGTGTATGCCAGTGATCTTTAACCTTAGGGACTGTTTAAATTTCCCCATTATTTCATCAAGTTAGCCCAATATATAAGGATGACTATTCTGTTCATAAGTTTCAGTTCACTGTTCATCTGCCAATAAACAGTGTAGACAGTTATGGAAGAACTAAATCTTATAAGATGGGAATTAGACTACATCTTCTCAAATACAGGTCAGCAGTCTGATGTGTATCAATTGTCATTGTCCTTCTTGCAATTTCACAGTCTTGTGTAATGTTAGCTTTGCTGTAGACTGAAAATATAGAACACACGCACACACACACGCACTGTTTTATTAACATAAATAATAACAGTTGATGTTGAGCACCGCCCGAGCCATCATTCCCATACAGTGCCTTCTCTGTCCAGGATAAAGCCAGAGGATGCAATGGACTTTGGTGTTTCACTGCTGTTCTATGGGCTGTACTACGGGGTCCTAGGAAGGGACTTTGCAGAGATGTGTGCAGACTTCATGGCTTCAACTGTTGGGGTAAGTAGACTGATGCAGACACTCTGTTTCTGTGCCCTGTTGAAGGTAGCGGTTGTAAGCTTAAATGTAATTGTTACTGTTTTCTCTCTTTTTTTTTTTGTTTGTTTTTAGTATTACAGTGCGTCCGGCATGCCAACCAAGCACCTCTCTGACAATATCTGTGCCGTGTGCGGTCAACCCATCCTCGTAGATGTCAGTGAGGAGGGGATTATTGAGAACACGTACAGATTATCCTGCAACCATGTGTATCCTTACTCGACATAAACAATTTTTTTTTCACGCTGCTACCTCTTATCAGTGAAAGAGAAGTTCAGCTGCACGATGGAGTTTTTTTTTTTTATAAAGGTGTACTCATGACTTTGTGCTGGAACTTTACCATGTTCTCAATCAGCAGCGCAAAGAGGAATTAATTGGTAGAGTCAACTTGACCTTTATGTCGGACTGTTGATGTTTTGATAGTCTGTTCATTTATCTGAATGCACTGTACTTCCTCCATCATTATCTTCTGCTGTTGCACACGAAACCTTGTGTCAAGGTGTTGTTTGGTTTGGATATTTTCCATACCTAGATTTTTATTCTATTTATCTACCATTTAGTGTTAAGCTTGCTGGTTTTCTGTTTTCAAACCTTTCATGCACCTGAATCGAATCACAATCGAATAAATGGCATGCTGTGAGTAATAATTATAGTCCAAATCACATATCATAATCACATCATTGACCAGTATAGGTTTGTCACTGATAACTTTCTTAGCAGGTTGAAAAAAACATTTCTTATTTGATGGATATTTTACAGAATTCTGGTTTTATATATTCTGTTTTAGTTATTCTTGCTGTTACTGTCAAATTTGATAATGAATTCTTTAACTGTAAAAGGGCATGCCAAAAAGTTAACAATTTATAAACATTATAGTAATTTTAAATATATTGTTTTTTGTATTTAAACCAAGTAATTTTCTGTCCTTACAACACAGGACTGTTTGATTGAATCATTTCCTTACATATTAACTGAAATGGATTTTTGCTTATTTTCTTTATTGTCTTTTTTTCCTTTGTTTAAAATTAGGCTGTTTAAAGTGGATGCAACCGGTTGATGCACATTTGCTACAAATATAATCTGTTTTCATACTGTGTCGAGCCTTAACTCCCCACCCAGGTTCCATGAATTCTGCATAAGAGGATGGTGTATCGTCGGAAAGAAGCAGATGTGCCCGTACTGCAAAGAGAAGGTGGATCTGAAGAGGATGTTCAGTAACCCGTATCCTTTTTTTATTCTGTCATTCTCACACATGTGAGCCTTACCTGTTGTCTTTTTTTCTGTTATGCATTATTCCACAGTTGTTTCTCACTGAATATCCTAACGATTGCTGAGATAACTAGTGTAATGCCAGAGATCATAAATATTAATGTGCAATGTGCTTGCACAATAAAAATGTCAACACCTAATGGAGGAGGACAGAAGCTAAATTGGGCATTTTCACACACAATGTCCAGGAAACCCAGTCATACCCAGTCATGCCAAGTAACAGTAGAAAGACGTTTTTCCGGTAATGGGAAGTTTCGACAGTAAAGTTTAGCTGGACTTATCAGGCAGCTTACTGCAGGCTGTTTGGAACAAGATATGAACCATTTATAGGTTGTATACCAAGTTCCTGTTCCTTTTTGTGGTTCAGAGTAGTACCCTTCAGACAACTGTGTCCACTGAAACTATATCAAATTAATAATGCCCTTTAGTGTCTAGAGTCTATTTAGGCTTTATATTGTCACCCACTGTCACTCATTTATTAGCTATTTTTGATTCCCGTTGAAGGCTCTTATCCTTAACCTATTTTCTTTTAGCTGGGAGAGGCCACATGTCATGTACGGACAACTTTTAGACTGGCTTCGGTACTTGGTGGCCTGGCAGCCCGTTATTATTGGATTTGTGCAAGGTATCAACTACGTCCTGGGTCTGGAGTAACCCGCGACTGGACACGCCATACGGAGAAGATATGCACTGGCTCAAAAGACTGAGGGCCTAACATTGAACTAAAACACCAATAAAAAGTGTCTATACTTTTTGTATATATTTATAGGCACACATTATCTGTATTTACAGTTCATTTGAATTTTATTGGTAATCTGAATTTGGATGTCTGTGTCATATTCCCAGGATTTAATTGGTTTGTGCATCTTATTGCCTAGTAAAACGATTGTCAAAATCATTAGAGAGGTGCTTTTTACTAATTTATGTCGTCAGTGTTTGTTAACACAGTTAAAGGATCTTGCTGGAGTTTTTCATCCTCGTGTCTGATGGCTATCACACATGAGTAATAAATATTGAATGGAAATAACAAAAATACTCGCTCCCTGTGCCTGCCAAAATACATGAACACAGTATCCACAGGCGTCATTTCACCACTGCGTCATTTAATGTGCACTGGTCCAGCGGTTTGACCTCACATTTTGAACTCTGTTGACAGAGAGTTTCCTAAGCACCAACAGTCATGCGTCATGTGAGAAGAGGCGTCATCATGGGGAAAGAAGTGCGAATCGCTCTTAAACAGAGGATTCCTCACACAGCGCTTCTTAAGATGGAACTTTTAATGTTACTGGATTTCAAAATGTCCTCGTTGTTTTCATGGACACTCATCCTTACCAACTGGCCAAACAGTCCTGTTTACTTTGACAATAACCCCTTCTGAGATAACTCACTTGATTAGGTTTGTATGATTTGAAGTGGAGGAACGTCACTGTCACAAGTGACTGTATGTATGTAAAGGGGCAGTTCACCTAAATTATTCAAACATTTTCTGACCTGTAGTTGTATCTAGCCACGCTGATAGTTTTGGTTTGGCTCTGCCAGCTGTTTTCTTTGGAACTACTTTCTACCAAAGAAATAGTCCCTGTGAATCTGTTGACGGTTATTCAGTTTCTGGGGTGACACATTGCTGTTGACATTTTTAAATGCTGTGAGCATGACTAACAAATCACCTCTGTTGTATTGTGGTACAGTTTAATAAAGCCATGCCAAATAAAACCCAAACTATCTGTATGGCTAGATACCAGTCAGAAACTTTTTTTTTTCTTTAACTTTGGTGAACTTCTGGAAGCACAAACCAAAGCTACAATATTGGTTAGTAACTTAACTAAAACCACTGACTGCTTTAAATTTGACCATAAGAGGAAAGAAGACAAACATCCTAGAATGATCCTTTAACTCAGTAAGAATGCTGATGGCTCCAGTCTTACTTTTATGTGACCTGTTCCGGTCCCTTATATGTGGGTTTTCTAGTCCAAAGTTGCTGGAAGGTGATGGTGGGTTTTTTGCAGGTACTGGTCACAGTACACGTCTCATAACACCAACTGTCTTTTACTTGAACCTGTCTACCAATTCACACAGTAAAGGGACTTTGTACAACCAGGCTAACATGATCATTTTGTTTTATTGTCAATGTTTTTGATCAAGATCAGTTTAATAAATGTCACATGGTTCAGATTGTGTGTATACGTTTTGTCCGTGCACCCTCAAGGTTTCACTTTCAACATTTAAAGGCATTGTTCACTGGAGGACATTATATATGGACACAATTGGGGTCACAAGAGTGAGAGCTGTGAATTAGTCAGCATGTCAACAACAATATGAGTGGTCATGTTCGTGAGGAAATCCCCATTTTTTTTTTCATGTCTTTGCATGTGTTTGTGTGGGCGAAGAGGAAGTGAATGGTTGCCTATATATATAGTAATCCCAAGCAGCAGTCAACTTCACAAAGCCCTCACTGGAGAAAAGATGAAGCTGTCATCTGTTGTCAAAGGTAATAACACTTATTTACTAATACCGTGTCATTTTCACTGGCTTATGACATTGGTTGTGAATATGTTGTATCTCTGCAACAGCCTTAGGATCCCTGTGTCTGCTGCTTGCAGATGGATTTCCAGGTACAGTATGTTTTATGGCTGACGACTTAATTTTTGTGCATTTAGATTTTGTGCTAACCTTAATGTGTTCTACAGTTTCTGAGGGTGAATCTCCAGAGATCATTGGGCCTCATCGCGTCCAAATAAAAGCTCATCCAGGTAACCCTGCTACTAACTACTATTAAGTGTTTTCTGATAGTCAGCTGACACAACCTGCTCTTTGGTGGATAGCTCAGGGGGATTCTTATTGTGAAGCTATTTTAAAGGGTTCCTGTACATATATTGAAGCTCTACTGTAATTGTGTATGATGGTTCTGGATGTATTCGGCCTTGCAGGAGAGCATCTGTTCCTTCACTGTGAAGCGTTTGCAAATTGTGAAGCTGATATGACAATCATTTACTGGCTCGTCAACGGCTCTTTCCCCGAGGAAACGCCCAGCAGTGGCAGAATAGTGGAAACAGAGGAGTGAGTATTATGGGTTTTAACTTTACTGGAAATGACCTTAACAAAGCATAAAGTCTTAGCCATTTAATTATTATTATTTCTTTAAATTTAACTCTGCAGACAAAAGAATGACTAACCCTGAAGACAACCTGTGGCTGAGCTGTAATGACTGTTGTTTGTTTTAGAACCGCCATAGACGAGGGCACAATCCTACAGAAGAGTTTGCTGTTGAAGAATGTCACAACAGAGGACCTCAAATCCACCTTCACCTGTGTTGTGACCAACGCAGCTGGAACAGACCGAAAGTACACAACGTTAGTGACATCACGCAGAGATTGTAATGCGGGAAAACACAAAAAACACTGAATGTTAACTGCAGCAAAAAGTGTAACTCTCTGAGCCATGTTTCACTTGCAAACTAACTGATATTTAACATGAATCAGCATTATCTGTGAATTTACGATTATATGTTTTATTTCTGGATATGGACTATGCTAAAGAAAAGCTGGATGAAGAAATATACTAAACTTGGCGTGCATTTGGTTCTACAATGGCAAATTGTTTTCCTTTAAAAACAAATAAATACTTAAGGTGAAGCAAAACAACTACTGGAAAATATTGTTATCCTCTCCTAATATAAATGTTCTGCAGCATTGACGACCCTCCTCTTAATCCAGGGAAACACAATGTCCAGCAGCAATATGTGGAACTGAATGCACCCTTGTTAAAACTGTATACATTAATTTAGATGACTGACTGATGACTGTACCACTCAAAGGAACTATCGACTGAATATATAAAAAAATTGTAACAGTTAATTGCTAAGCTATTTGCTATGCTTGTGTATCATTCCAGTGTCTGTGTTTGCTGGCGATAAGCCATCTTGAATCTGTATACTTTTGAGCCATATAAAGATATACTGTACTCCATACTGAGACAACAGTCTAATCAATTCACTCACAAACTCAAGTGTGCAGTCCTGATTGAACCATGTGAATGTTTCCCTCGAGTTTTATTATTAATTATGTCATTTATTTCAAACAATGACCTTTTACCAGTGAGTATCAGAACTACAGGGATTAGAGTACAGATACTTTTTAAGATAAACAAACAAACAGAATTACTGATTATTGCATCTTACACCCAAGCATTAAAGCAAACAGCCAACCAGCAATATGAATTGTTTGACACAGCTTAAATAATTAAAAAATTAATTTTAGTTTTTAGCTCAGAACAATATTCATTGTCACACATAATATTGTTATAAGTGCAGTTAAAGAGTTTGTCATATCAAGCGAAAAAAATATAACTGATACGTCACTCTGATTGCGCAGACCTCCGCCAAGACCAATAGTCCAGTCATGCTTTTGCTGTAGTCGTGGCACACCGTTCGGTTTTTTTTTTGCTTGCACAACAAATTCAGTTTGCCACAGACACCGGTGTTATACTTCACTTATCTTACTACCTTAACAAAAAGTGAAAAATAACGTGTATACGCTCCAAATTTAATGGGTTCCTTGGCCCATGCTGCACCCTTTCACCAGGTTTCATGAACATTGGGGCCAGTAGTTTCCCTGTAATCTTGCTGACAGAGAAACATACAAACAGCACTAAAACCATAACCTCCTTGGCAGAGGTAATCATATCATCCAGCTTCTATAAATCCATATTAACACACATTAAATCACATCATACCCAAAAGGATCTGTTTCCACAGCTTTGGTACATCAGTTTAACTTCAGAAGTGATTATGTAAGGCTCCATTAGTGTATATGTAACATGGAGAAGAAGAATAGAAATAGAAACTTGTTTCTCCATCCATACAGACACACATCTTAAACAGTTTTCCTTCAACTGGAATTCAGCAGATGCCGCTTGTATAATAATGACTTTGTACAGTGAGCAGTGTTGAATGCTTCCTCTTAGGTTCACACACCCAGCTCCTCCAAGCAGTGCTCCAAGCTGCTTTTCCTACCAGGATACTGATTTTCTTTTATCTTCTTTCTGATGAGGGTCACAGCATCTTCAATGGCTGCTGGCCACTTTACAGAAGAGGTGAAGAATGGTTGGAGAAGTTCCTGGTTGGTCGTGACTGCCATTCCGAACAGGAAACGCAGGAAAATGTCCAGTCTGCCGTCCTCGCACAGCAGGCTTCTGTCCATGGCGCTCTTGTACAGCTCCATCGTCTTGTGTCCTTTCAACAGGCCCTTGAACTTCTGTTTCAGTTGCTGGTCAAAAATGTTCTTCCCGTGGTTCCTAAAAGAGAGAAATACATACAGGGCAGCCAGGTACTCCTGCATGGTGGGGTGGATAAAGCTGAGGACTTTCTCTTGATGCAAGACCATTGGCTTTGTGATGTATTGTGTGCACAGGCCACTGTAAGTCACCGCCTCCAAGTCGTCGATTCCATGCTCTTTCCAGTCGTATCTGGTGATTTTGAACTGGCCCTGTTTCAGCATGTTGAAGGCCAACTTTCCAAGTTTCATGAGGAAATCTCTCTCTTTATCTGGGCTACGCTCTGGAGCTCTAATTGTGCGATGCTGACGCGTGAGTGCTAGGAGCAGCTTTGTGTACATATAGGTGATGCTCCTGGGCAGCGCTGCCTGTGGCCCCTGTTTCCTAAATATGTGCTGGCACTCGGCAGCCACCAGTGAGCAGAACAAGGGCAGGTGGCACATGATGCGGAGGGTTTTGATAGAATTGATATATTTAATGACTCGAGCCGCTTGATCTGCGTCCTTAAATCTCTTCTGAAAGTACCCGTCCTTTTCGGAGTCACGGAAACCACGCACGTCTATCTCATCATAATGCGTATCCCAAGGAATGATGCGTTTCACTTGCGGCCGGGAAGTGATCACGTACAGGTCGCGGTAGAACAGCCTCCCTCTGAGGATGTTCACTATCAGGACATTCAGGGTGCCAGTATCTGTGAAATAACTGAGCGGCCCAGTGTTTCGAAAGTCAAGATCCTCATCGTACTCATCAAGACCATCAAAGAGAAACATCAGTTTGCAGTCATCACTTTTAAAATCCTCATCCCTCAGGTTTTTTGTCGGTGGGTAGAGTGTCTGCAATATTTCCAACAGGGAGATTTCAGAACCCTCAAACTTTTTGAGTTCTCTGAACGGCAAAGGAAACAAGAAAGACACGTGTTGGTGGGACTTCCCTTCAATCCAATCAAGGATCAACCTTCTGAGCAGCATAGACTTCCCCGACCCTGCCACTCCTGTGATCAACATAAGCCTCATGGTTGAGTGCTCCATCCTTTTAGCGCACAAAATATCCTTAGTAGAAAGCGCTTTTCCATCATCCTGGTTGCTGTCCAGCTTTTCTATGGTCATGACCTCATGTTCAATATTTGGGCCAACATCACATGTTGAGGTTATGTAGAGATCAGTAAAGACGTCGTCGAAGGCCCTCTTCTCTTCCTGCATTGCAAAATCCCCACATACATCGGTGTATGTCCTCCTCAGAATCTCACATACATCGTGACGCACTTCATCTGAAAAAAGAAAAACGGACATATAGATATGAGTAAGATTCTCTCATTTGTTCTAACGGTGACAGTGAACTGGGTGACATTTAATTACATCAGTGCAGTTAAAGTAAAACCCACTGTTGCACTTTGACTAGTATCTCCTTTGGTAAATATATTATCCATCCCTTTTGTTGAGATTGAATTAATAGTAGCAAGCCATTAAGACATACAGGAGCCTACTTACTTCTAAGGCACAAAGTGTTGAGAAAGTCTACCATCTTCTTTTGCCCAATATCCTCAAGAAGGGTCTTGGTGATCTGCAAAGATACCTCCAGGTTGTAACACTCGAGCAGCCGGTCCACAAGATCCACCAAATCCATGCCTTGGGGAGGGGTGTTGAATGACTGCGGGTAACGCTTCCACAGCAACATCTTGAATGTCCTGATGTCTCCCTTGGACAGCTTCCCAAGGGTGTCACAAATAGCCTGTTTGCAAAAGAAGGATACAAATCAGTGCTGTCGGTTTCTGCTCGAGGCTGTGTTCTTTTTTTAACTGATAGAGACAAAAGGGGAACATTAACTGACCTTAAAAGTGAATCCCACTGTCAGAGAAGGATGTCTAATCTGATTTGGGTCTTGGATTAACTCAGGTCTTTCAGAGGGCTCTGAGACGATATCATCTTTGCTTTTAACCCTAGTGAGGCCACAGTGGAGATAAACATATTTAAATGTGAATCTAGCATGTAAACACACACAAAAACATGTAGTGCGATGCAATGTGTGGTTCTTACTTGGGGATTTTCTTTTCACAATCATCACTGTCCAAGGAGTAGCAGCTAGAAAATGAATCTGCCCTGCTTAACTGGACCCTAAAACCAGGATGACAGTAGATTTAGAATTATATTCAGTCTAACTAAAACATGACATTACAGTTTTTCTTGGATACAATGAAAGCAACAAGGTAAAGGTACATATTACATGTACACCTGAATACCTGGGTTTACTGTAATGAATGCATACATTAATAGAGATATCTAAGCTTTGCTTGAATAATACTTTGTACCTCGTGGAGGATCCATCTTCACCATCCATGCTGTTTGAGAGCTCCTCACTTGTCATTGACCAGTAGCTCAGCGCTGGAGGTGAAGCCTGTTCCACAGAATGCCTGAAAGGAAAAATAAAATAAATAAGGATGGTGGAATGAATGTTAATTGCTTGGTGTCCAAACAACAAGCAGTCGCGGGCTTCCATAGTACAGACCAGTGAAGCAGCCCATTTAAGCTTAGTGCTCTTTATCAAGGCCAAGAAGTCTAGGGTATTTGTATCGGGACTACTAGGGCTTATGCAGATCGATGGACAAGCATGGACTCATTCCCACAATTTTTCTTTTTACTTTTCTTGGCTTTGTTCTGCTAAGACTGAGTATGTATTTCAGTGAGGTCAATAAGGATACACAAGTATAGACATCCTCCTCACACTGGGTCCATAGACTGTTGCAAAAAGATATCCAGATAACTCAATTCATTTTATTTTTGTGCTAGCTTCAAGTTTTCTCTTAAAGCCAAAGGAAATAATAAAGATAATAAAAGGGGGAATAAATACAGCTGTAATACACTGAATTACACATTACCAAAAGCACATGGTTATTCAACATAAAAACAAATGAAGCAAGAAGAGTAAAGTTCAGTCTACGAGGAGTGTTGACGTGCCATACCACTCTTGTTACATATAAGGTGTAAATGATATTCATTTCACTTTGTACTGTACTGCAGAATGCAAATGATAAGACAAGACTAGTTGTTATTTTTCCACTTTCAAGATATTTTTACTGTTTGCCTAAAGAAATACTCTTTGGGCTAGTAAGTGAAAAGTGTCAGTACCAATGGCTAGTATCCATTGGACTCGGCCCGAGGTCCAGAGAAGGTCTTCTCTCTGGGATGTAGTAGACGTCTTCCTCTTCATTAGATGCACTCTGGCCTCTACCAGACACTGCATCCCCAATGGAAGAGCTGCCTGACGGCGTGGCCATCCCGTCTATTTCAGTGTCGTCCATCATGTCATATGAAGAGTCAGCTATTGTTGAACATGACAAGCACACACAGTGCTCACTCTTTTTTCCAGAGGTGGTATCAGGACAGTAGCCTGTCTGTACCTGCAGAACAACACATGGAAAAGTTTAACACATCAGGTTTTAAATTATCCACCGGGGTGCAAATATGAACCCAAACCAGATGTTCAGGTTTCTTCAGTTGGAAGTGAATTCAGCCCGTATCACATTTATGGTAGACATAAAACAGAATCATCATTTTTTGCCTTTTACAGATTTACAGTAGAGAATAAAGTTAGTCAAAAATAACTCTCAGATGCCTGCTTTTTTTTGTGTTTATGATAGATGAACATGTATAATGTTGTGATGGCGTTATACCCTTATTTTATTTCATTTTAAGCACAA